TTGAATGGAACGAAATGATATAACGTTTTTCACTGAGGAATATTTGTGTCCTTGTTTATCGATATGAAAAAGAAAAAAGTGAGAATACACTCGGAATGCACTAAACGTAAACGATCGGAATGGGAATAGTGTAGTGACTTTGACAGTTGACACATGCTATTCGATGTGATGATAGGCAACTTCCGATTCGGACATCGTTGTGGCAACATTGAAATGACGGTCTCCGAATCGGGAGTCTTGAAGTCCATTATCATTAATAATCACAAAATATCTAGTGTAAAAGTGACCATCCGACTTTAAAAATTAATACAAGTTAAGTTAAAAAGTTACAAAGTGACTTTTCGATAAAAGTTTATTTAAAATATTGTCACGATTCGTATGAATTCATATTTTTCCTAATTTTAATTAACTGTTTAAATAACATCCTGTACATAAAACTTTGAGTATGTCGACAATTTGTATTGAATCGCAATGTTGTGCAAGGTTGATTATTTAATAATTATTAAACATTAGTTTGATAACAATAAACGATGAAAAAGTTATAAAGGTAATGTCGAAGGCATGCGTAGTGCTTTTTTCCACTGAGAAGGATCCTCCCCATAGGAGGCCACCCTTGTAGGAGATTCCGAGTAGCAGCTCCAGCTCGGGATCTCTATAGGCAGTATAGAGTTCTTACGTTATGTAGGCCCAGAGTGTTATATTTTGTTTTTCAACCCCCGGGACATAGATAGTCCCATAATTATTAAAGAGCACGTAAAACGTGACATTTTTATAAAAAGACACGATAATATAAACCATTTACCATATCCACCTTTTTACTTAAAAAAAAATTAAATGCACCAGAACAATTACCATATGCCGAACAGCCCTGACAGCTGAGGCCTACAAAAATTGAAAAGAAGAAGAAAAAGTGATGATAGGCAGGATAAATGACAATTTATAAGGACTTCCGATTTGGACATCGTCGTGGCAACATTTAAATGGCGGTCTCCGAATCGGGAGCCCTGAAGTCCATAATAATCTCAAAATATCTAGTGTAAAAGTAACCATCCGACTTTAAATATAATACAATTCCATAAAAATTATTAATTTATTTCGTTTCCTAAAAAACTCTTTTACATTTAATTCCCAACCATATCCGGCGATATATAAATTTATTTGGATTGAAGTGTAGAACATATTAACTAAATATTATCATTACACCATCTGTAAAATACATTTCGAAAACTTTTAAACTTAATTACTTTGTGTAATCCAAAAGTTTTTAAACTTTTTTTTGAAATATGAAATTTATTTTATTATACATTGTCAACCAATGCCTTTAACAATTAAAGAGGATAGCTGAATTCGTTCAATTTCTGCCGTGACGTGACGTCACCCCTGGATGCTTTCAACGGTTCAGCCGGAACTCATTTAAAATATACATCCATACATTACACCTTTTTTTATTCTATTTATTTTTAAACTAAAAGGTATTTCAGATATTCAAAACATCATTTTAACGAGAGAAAAAATTAAAAACATCCCAAAATTACAGAAGTGAGTAAAATAGGTAATAAATTTGAATACTGCCGCCATATTATCTAAAAATATTTCTCAAATAACACATATTTGAGAAATTTGATATGCTAGTTATAAGATAGTTAGAAGTCGAAATTTATATACAAAGTGTACACAAGTTAATGCAACTTATACTAATACAGTTAAATTTCTGATAGGTTCACAATAAAGTTTTGAATAAAAGTTTTATTAAATTATTTAAGTTATCAGTATAAGTTAATAGGAGATATACCGGGTTGGCAATTATTCCAAGATCAAGCAAGAGTATATTTTTACGTACTGTATTAAACTTAAAATAAAACCATTAAAACTGCATTGGGCTAACTTTATTAGCTCGAATACAGGGCGTACTATTAAAAAAATATCCTAAATTTATCAGGAATGTACATATTAATAAGTTAAGTTACTTTTTATTCACTCTGTATATAAATTTCGACTTTATCATGTCAAATTTCTTAAATATGAGTTCATTAAAAAGATGTTTAGAAAACATGGCCATGGTATTTAAATTTATTACCTTCTATTTACGTATTTATTTACTTCTATAATTTTCAAAAGAGTTAAATTTTCTCTCTGGTAAAATGATCTTTTGAATATCTAAAATATCTTTTAGTTTAAAAATAAACCAAATAAAACGTAATTTAAAAATAAGGTGTATTGGTGTACGTTTTAAATGGGACGGCTGAAAGTTTTCAGCGTTGACGTCACTCCGCACCGGACTCCGTAGAAATTGAATGAATTAGGCTACCCTCTTTAGTTGATATAGTCATTGACTTTGGTTGACAATTCATTTGTCAGACTAATTAATTATCTTGTTTGAAAGTTTAAAAACTTTTGGATAACCCAAAATAATGATTGTTTATTACTTTATAGATGGATTAATATTAATATTTAGTTATTATGTACAATTTAACCAAAATGGATAAAAAAAATCGCTGGATGTGACTAGAAATTAAAAGTTTTTTAGGAAAAGCAACAAAATAAATTAATAAAAGTAGTGCTTTTTAAAGTGTTTGAAAATGGTACGCCAAAAATAAGATACTTTGTGGGGTTTCCGATGGTATATTTAAAAAGTACTATTTTTCCTAAAGCCCAAAATGTAGGTATAAAAAAATTTGATAATATTATTATATTCCCAATAATTACCTTTTCATGCGTGATATAAGCATTGTTTTAATATGTATTCGAATCATAAAATTACCTGATCGATTCTGTCAATTATTAATCAAGATTTTGTTATAAATTGAAATGTTTGGCAAGCTGCTTATGCTTTACACGAAAATCGAAAAATCTTAGGTTAAAATCACCAAAATTCGCAAGTTTTAACTTAAATTTCTCTGTCATTTATGCCAAACCCGCAATTTATTATTTTATTTTATATATACACTTAGTAGTATTTTCTAGTTTAATGGTTTTTTTCGAAATTCGTGTGTCCGTTACGTTTACAGGAACCCTAATTCATATTAATTTTTAGGTAAATAGGTTATTTAGGTTATGTAGATAGTTTCAATTAATCATGGTTTGGAAAAAACATTAACTTATACTTAAGTTGTTAACAAGAGGACATTTTAAAATATCAAATTTAATTTAAATAAAAGACGTCATTTAAATTAATAAATTGAATTTAATATAAATATAAAACATATATAGTTAATGTTTAAAATGTTTTTAGGGGCTGTTTCGGTTAATTTTCTAGAATCACTGGTGATTTTTCCAAAAATATACATAAAATATTATCCGATGACGTCATATCTTGAAAAATATAACATGAACGAAAAATCTGCAAACACCACTAAATAGTACATAAAATATACAAAAACTTTTATCCATGTCAATTTTGGTACCAGTTATAATTAAGCCATATATCTGGTATTTCGCTCATTTAGCCCAACCCTGTATTATAGGGTTAATCAACAATTATGTATTGTAAACATTTTATTTGCATAATTTTCATAAAGAAAGAAATACATTTTTCTTCCAATACATAGCAAATCTGTTACAATTCTTGAATTTTTCCCACTATCATTTTGGTAACTTAGTATATAAATATTTAAAAAATATGCTAGACATTATATTAAAACTACCGTTTGTTCTTCAATAGAAGATAAAATTATTCAGAAACAATAATTGAATTGAAAAGTTTCAAAAATCAATTTGAAATAAAGTAAAATTGGTAACGTAGAGGAACTGGTCCGAATATGGGCCTCTCTTTTATTTTCCGACGTATTTTCACTAAAATGGGAATGTAATGTAGTGAAATATTTTGCAATAACTTTAAGCAGGAGATTTTTAAAAACATTTTTGTTTTATTTTGAAATAAATATATTTTACTAGACAAAATATAAAAAATAAAAAGTGTTTTTGGTAAATCGGACCAGAAGGTTTGGAATATAAGCCACATATACCAAAAAATTTTAAGAAAAAATAAACAAAGAACATACAATTTTTTTGAAGTGCTTCCTTGGTGTTCTGGTTCCAATTCAAAACTAGAAGCATTGTTGAAGTTACTAACTGTATCACTAGAATCTATTAGGTCTGTAGTATGTCTGCAGCATTTTTTTACTTCGTTTGCTCCAGGTTTTTCTTACGTTTTTGCCCACATTTTCTAGTTTTAAATGATTTAGGCATTTTTACCAGTAAAAAAGTATATTAAAGTAACGTGACCCTAATATGGCCCCTGACCATGTTTAAAACATGTGAAATCAATTCTGGACCTCAGGGCCAAACAGTATTAAGTCCACGTTTTTTGTTTTTTGAGGTTATTATTGCTCTATTAATATTTGTTTCGTTTCTTTCCAATGGCGATATATATTAAGTCCAATTCCTTCCCATTTACGAGATTAGTGTAGATTATTGATAATAAGTTCTCTGTTAAATAAAACAACAGTATTCAAGGTTTTCTATACTGTTTGGCTCTAGAAGATATCCAATATTTTAGGTATTAAGTCCAAATGTGAGGTTAGGTGACTGGACTTAATACTGTTTTGTTTTAGTGTACCGCAGTTGTCATAATATTAAGTCACATTTTGTTTTTCTTCCTTTTTTCAATATTTGATAATTGAATGGGGTCAAGATGATGACATCAAGAGGCCACAAATATTACAAATGACACTAAGACAAGCCAAGTGCAAGAAAATATCTGAAAAACCTGTTATAACCCACTTTTGGCTCAGAAAAACGGTAATTAAAAAATTACATGCCTTTATTAACACAAGTTTCGTAATTGTTTAACTTTTATCTTTTGCCTTCTGATAACACGCAAGAAAATATTATAGAAAATGCTAAGATTGTCATGGAAATATATCCAATTCTTGCAACCAGATGTACCAATGCTGCAGGGGATGCTATTTCTTTGAATAACGATGTGAACAATGCTACCATTGTTAGTAATAACAATGTGCTATTTTCCAATATTGCAGAAATTCTCAGTGATAATGCAGACGAATCTCAGCTACTAGAAAGCTACCAGAGCATTTTGTTCAAAGCAATGAAAATAAAGATAAAAATAACGAATTCGAGAAAACTTCGAAAATTAATATTTCACAAAATATTATTATTCAAAATAATGATGATGGACCTCACTACAAAGGAGATGAAGTAGACACAAATATTTTACAACATAAAGAAGATTATACTGTATCTGAGAAAAGTAGTGATACAAATAAACTGGAAGAAGAACAAGAGGAAAAAACTGTAGAAATCCGAGAAACTAATGGAAAGAAAAGAAGAAGAAATTCTGTTAATTAGAAGAAAAACATTCTAAAGCAAAAGAGAGCTGCTGGTGAAGAATACATGTCAGCCACCAATAAGCTTATTGGAATTAATGGAACGAAAGCACTTTGATGAATGTAAAAAGCAATGCAAACAGAATAATAGTTCAGAGTCGTGCTCTAATTCACTCACAATTTTGGAATGGTAGCATTAGCGTTGACCAGAAAAGTCAATTCATAGCATCGAAGAAGTTCCAGTTGAGCGTGTACGTGCTAGAAAGGAAAAAGACTGTCGTCGTTGAAATATTGTTTTAGTGTTAATGGTAAGAAGGTTAGTGTGTGTCGTACTTACTTCTTAACACCTTAAATATATTCCAAACCTCTGTGCGTAATTCATTATTGAAGAAACAACTTGCTGAAATCGTAATACCTGATCAAAGTGGTAAACATGAACCCTCAAACAAAATTGCCTCAAATGTAAGAAACAATATCAGAGAGCACATACAGAAGTTTCCGTGAGTAGAATCACATTATTCCAGAAATAAATCAAGATGAAGTATTTAGGCAGCCATCTCAACATTTCAAAAATATATCAGTGCTTCTATGAAGAATGTATAGAAAACGAAATTCCTAAAGATAATATTCCCAAGCAATGGTTATGTAGTGAAATTTTCAATTCGGAATTTAATGTATCCTTCAAAGAACCAGGGAATGATACGTGTGACAAATGTGATAGATATGTTATCAAACAAAAGATTCTGCATCTTTGGAAGAACACCTTGAATTACAAACTAACTATGATGCACATCTACTTGATGCAGATCATCGGTATCACCTAAAGCGATAGAATAAAGAGGCGAACACTAAAATACTTTTGGGATGAATCTATAGCCGGACGTGGTGGAAATGAAATTGCTTCATGTATTCTGAAATACTATAATTTACATGTAAAAGAATCTGTAAAGAAAACTATTATCTGGAGCGATAACTGTTCATCAGAAAATATAAATCATCAGATGATTGTGTTTTTTTCGATTCTTATGCATAAAATGCATTGAACATAAGTACACTTTTAATAGGACATACACACATGGAGGTGGATACAATTCATGCATGAATAGAAATACTAAAGGAAGCTTCTCACAGTTTTTATTAATAACTCCATGGGATTGACAACAGCTTTTCAGACTTTCTGACAATAAAACTGTAGTAGCGGAAATGGAAACCATAGACTTTAAGAATTTTATCTGAAGATTCCGGATCTTACTTTTATAATAAAAAAAACACACCCTTTTTGATATCTAGAGTGGTTCATATAAAGTTTTTAGCAGCAACACCTAACATGTTATATTTTAAAACAGATTTTAATCAAGAACATTTTGAACAAGTTGATTTTAATAGAGTCAGTAAAAGACTAACACGCAAAGCGAAACAACCATGCTAACTTAATGCTGTTGAAACCAATCAGAGAGACACTAAAACCTATTTCGACTTAAAAGTATAATGATTTGCGGAACTTACTAAAATGGGTGCCTAAAAGATTCCATGAATACTTTAGAAATCTTCCACATGATAACCTTTAGGAAGACGACTGAAAAATGCATTGATCTTCATTGTGTTTTTTCTTTAATTAATATTAATTTTTAATTATTTCTTGAATTTTAGGACATTTTGATGTGACCTCTTATTTAATTTAGAAAATAAATATTTTTAGTGTATTTTTACCTATTGTTATCCTTTATTAATTAGTTATAATTGACATTAATTAATTTTGGTTCTAAGTTGCATTGTTCTACTAGGGATTTCCTAATAATAAATCAGTATCAAGTCCCACGAAGTCCATTGCTAGAACCAGACAATATTAAGTCCCCCAATTAATTTAAAATTATTTAAAAACATTAATGTAAGAGGTTGGTTATCATCAGCTTTAGTTAGCTTTCAAAATTATGATTGGCAAAATAATAAATCCTGCTTTTTTATTTACAATAGGAATCAATTCCAAAAATACCATTGTTCAAAATCTCCAAATTGCTCTGCTGTCTAATTTAAAAAATGTGACTTAATACTGTTTGGTTCCGAGGTCCAAATCTAAAAATTATACTTTACCTTAAATTCCTTTTCAAAATCTACAAAAATACAAACAATAATTTTTACCTGAGAGGTACTAAACATTAGATGCTAAAAATTTTAATTTAAGAAAGCACCGTCTACTTTGTGCTACTTAAAAATAGATAGTGCCTGGCTACTTTATAAATTATCTCTGTAGTCCATATTAAATACATGACCCATATTCGGACCAGTTCCTCTAATATCCAATCAATTTCTTCTAGCCTCCTGATCAATTTAAAATAATATATTCTGAATTGACTAGTGCCCTAATAATTGTTTATCTAAATTTACCCCACGTACGGGTAAGGAGGATAAGGAGCCGGGAAGTATCCCGGAAAAGCACCCGCTCCAGGCACTTGAACGGAAGCGGTAACGTAAGAAGTGGTAACCGTTGGTATCACTATAGTAGAATAAATTGTGGTGTGAGCTGTCTTAGCACCGAATGTTAATTTAAGGACCTTGCTGTTGGTTTGAGTAACCGTAACAGTTTGTACAACTGGCGACGAGGTAATTGCAAATTGAGGCTGAGCCTGCGGCAAGAACGGGTTGAGTTGAGGTATTTGAGGTATTTGTGGTTGAAGAGGTTGGAGAGGCAGCTGTGGGAAAGTAGGTCCTATGGTACTGGTACCAAATTCGTACTCCGTTTTCGTAATAGTACCTTTCAATTTGGAAATAGTACTTTGTATTGTATTATGACCTTTAGTAACAGGTAAAATAAATGTTTCGTATAAAGTTTCAACTTTTATAACTGGCTTTGATGTAGTAATAACCTGAGGCTGAGCTGCAGCATTAGGATTTAATAATCTATACAAAGCCAACTGCTGTAGTTGGTCAGGACTAACAGCCGGAATTTCCGGTTTAGGAGGTGATTGAGGTTTTTTATGCCTCAAATGGGTTTCAACGTTTGATTTATCCACATCTAATAGATCGAATTTCGAACCTATATTAGCTAGATCTAAATCGGCTGGTAGTGAAACTTTTCGGACTCCATCTTCTTGATCGTTTTGGTCGCCGAATTCTAGTTCTAGATGTAGTTCGGATCCGGCTTCGTCTAGATGGCTGTTGAATTCGTTTAAGGTTTTGCTTGGAATGAAATGGTACGCGTCCAATGGTGGAAGGGTTTTTGTTGCTGTCACCAATCTGAAAATAAAGTAGATATATAGAAGAAATATGTCACATATTTGAACGTAGTAACGAAGTACAAATTGTTATACGGTATCGTTAAAACTTTGGAACTAAAGAGATAAAAGTAAAGAAAGAAAGGTGATTGGAACAATATTATAAACATTTATTGAGATTAGAAAACAATACGTTAACATTAACATAAACAATATTTTTAAACAAATATATAAATCAGGAAGTTTGTTAATGAATATTGGTGTGCCACAAGGTTCAGTGATAGGCCCGATTTCACATTTACTATATATTAATGAAATTGAATCAATTTCTCTCTTCACTGCTTAGGCAGATGGGGTTTCCCTAATAATTTTTGTAAAAAAAATAATATATATCTTTAGACTTGATTTGAAAATCGTTATTTACAGTATAGTTGTTATAACTGGCAGCAAAATTTCAGCTATACAAATATAATATAAATAGGAAGCGGGTCATTCAATAAAGTAACTAACTTTAGATGAATGCCTTTCTTGTATGGCTTATTTTATTCACCCCGGGTTTTCGAGAAACAAAAATATTCAAAATAAGCGCCGCAATTTACTTGATTTACGGAAACAAAACATAAAAAGGGCTGAATGGTGTAGAACTACTGAATAAAAGATACTTGCAAAGGTAATACTCTCATTTGAAAGACATACAAACATTTTGAGAGCAATTAAACCACTTTTAGACTTTTAGTTCCGATTTTTACACTTACTTCGCCAGGTTGCAATTTTTTTGCATATCTATCTTTTAGCTGGCACAAAAAAAAATTATATGATCTTAGATTGAAAAAAAAACGTGTTTAATTTATATTCTAAAAATATCAGGTCACGTGGCCGAAATCCTTTCACCGGTAATAGCAAAACTGGACGACAGAAAATGCTTGGAAATAGCAACTTTACTTTGAATTCATATGACCGCTCCCACTGCCGGGATATTGTACATGTTGTACACCTTCCTCCCCTGTACTCAACTACAAAGAACAAGCAAAATTTGATTTTCTTTGATAATTTCTTCTAATTGAAAACATTACTGATTTTCAGAATTTTTGGCATTTCAAACTTTTTCAAACGCAATGCATTTCTTATGGATTTTATCAGATTTTATTCACAGCAACGAGGGTACTGATTTTACTAAATATCCATGCTTGTCAATTCGAAACCAGACATTTTCTTTTATGTTGCTGTCATAAACATCAAATATAGTAGTTTGTGCAACAAGAGTAGACATCGCGGACAATCACACGAAGACGAAGTTTGATTATCTGAATGCGATATGAGCAATCCACTCGAGATGTATAGTATATTTAGCCTACGACCCTTTAACGAAAATTTACAAATTTAAAAAATTATTTTAGGTTATTAAGACAAAATAACTAATTTTAAATTAATTTATGATTTTAACTAATTTATAAAATCAAGTAAAAAGAAAAAAAAAATAATTTAATTAGTCCCCAGCCCATAATTAAACCCGGACCTCTTGCGTGGAAGATCAACGCCGTGTCCTCACCTCCATCGCCACACTAACGATTTTGGTTTTAATACTCGTGATTATATTAGTTTCTCATAGTTTGATTAAAATTTAAGACCTATTTTTAAATGTGGACAAAATAAAAATAGAAATGCTATCATTTATTAATTCTACACAAGAATAACTCATTTTAACGTATATTTAATATCAATAACTGTAATAGGAGAGTATCTTAAATATAGGAACGCAGCCTATGGCTGCTGCTAAGTTAAGATAGATGGCGCTAGGTAAGGACAGCTGTCAGGAAACAACTTAAAGGTGTAGGACGATCATCATCATGTTGTTGTTGTAATGTAACTAACATTAAAACATGTTTGTAAAATAAAGATACATAAATATCAGCGACTCGTTTAATAATCAATCCATAATTATTACAATAACTAAAAAATATACTAACAATTAGTTTGACAGAATTGTCAAAAAAAGGGGCTGTGATTGGGGGTTTTCTTTTTTTGCAGTGTTCCTACTAGGTAGAATGGATATGAAATATATTCGTTCAGTTGAACGCAAAGGAATACTTTTTCGTTTTCTAATATGTGCGTAGATAAGCTAATATCCATGTGGATGTAAAAAATAGTAGTTTGTGCAACAAGAGTGGATATATGGGGGTGGGTAGCTCAGTGGTAGAGTCTCTACCTGCGGCTCCAAAGGTCTCAGGTTCGAATCCCACCGTTGACCGGGATTTTTTATTTTAATTCAATTATTTAAAATTAATTCTGATGCCTCGGTAGGATTCCCCACTTGACCATTCACTGTTGGGTTTTAATTAACAGTGCTGTTCTAAAGTGGCGCTGGGAAACAGTAACAAAGCTTACATAGAACACGATGCTAATAACCTTAGTAGTTGATGACACAAAAAAAAGTGGATCTGATGTCCATATCGCACAAAGACAAAGTTTGAGCACAACGCCGTAGGCGGAGAGCTCAAATCGTCTGAGTGCGAAATGGACAATCCACTCGAGTTGTACAGTACATTTTTTCTACGACCCACTAAATCTACAAATTTAAAAAATTATTTTAAGGTATTAAAACAAAGTAACCAATTATAAAATTATTTATGAATTTTAATAATTTATAAAATAAAAAACAAAAAAAGAAATATTAATTGGTCCAGGGCACGATTCGATCCCGGACCTTCCGCGTGGAATGCACATCTCCACAGATGGATGCTTTTACAAATTTAGTTTAAATATTCGTAATTAAATTAGTTTCGTATAATTTGATTAAAATTAATTTTTTTCGAAATGTGGAACAAATAAAAATAAAAATGCTACTATTTAGCGATTCTACACAAAAGGAGCTCATTTTAATGAATATTTAATCTCAATACTCAAATTTTAAAAATAATAGTAGTTGGGTATCCAAAATATGAACTGTGATTGGTTTTAATAGATTTTTATAGGTTCTTATAGATATTTATACATTTTTATAGGTTTTTTTTATAAATTATTGTAGGTTTTTTTATAGATTTATAGATTTTTATAAACTTTTATGAATTTTTATAGATTTTTAGGTTTTATAAGTTCTTATACATTTTTATAGGTTTTTATAAATTGTTATAGGTTTTTATAGTTTTTTTTTATTTTTATAAAATTTTAGATTTTTAGGGGTTTTAATCGATTTTTATAGGTTTTAATAGTTTTTTATAGGTTCTTATAAATATTTATAAATTTTTATAGGTTTTTATAATTTGTTGTAGGTTTTTATAGATTTTTTTATAAACCTTTATTAATTTTTATAAATTTTTATAGGTTTTAATAGATTTTTATAGGTTCCTATAAATTTTTATAGGTTTTATAAATTGTTATAGGTTTTTATAGTTTTTATAAATTTTTATAAAATTTTAGCTTTTTAGAGGTTTTAATAGATTTTTATAGGTTTTAATAGACTTTTATAGGTTCTTATAGATATTTATAAATTTTTATAGGTTTTTATAGATTTTTATAATTTTTTATGAATTTGTATGAATTTTTATAGATTTTTTTATAGACTTTTGTAGATTTTTATAGACTATTATAGACTTTTATAGTTTTTTATGGATTTTCATGAATTTTCATAGAATTTTATATATATTTATTTTTGAGACTCAACTTTACTAGGACGATATTTTTGATCATTTATACATTTCCTTTTCATAGGAGAATAATTTCCCATTGTTATTATCGTATTTTTTTATTTTAAACTCTTTTTACTGTACCACTCCTAATCATTCATATTCACTGCGGTTTATAAACTATAAGAATAATAAATATAAAGCTGTTTTATTAATTTGTATATTTTCATTCTTTCAGGTGTATTTCCGCTATTGTTTGCCGTAGGCGTATTGAAGTATCTGCAATCAATGATGTCTAAATCTGAATTTAAATCTTTAGTGGTATTCCGTGGACTAATATCCGCAGCTGTGGTATTTTTAGGTTTAGTTTTACTTACGTAGGCCGGTTACGTTGCCCCTTGGAGTGGTAGGTAAGTAACGTCACGATTAACTTACCTCAAAATGATCTTCACAACATAATTTTTTTAATTTTAGATTTTATTTCTTATGGGATACGGGGTATGCCAAAATTCACATTCCCATTATAGCTTCTGTATCGGAACATCAACCGAAGACTTGGTTTTTTGCAGTGTTTTCACTACCCAGAATGGATATGAAATATATTTATTCAGTTGAACGTAAGAGCATACTTTTTCGATTTGTAGTCTGTGTGTAGATAAGCTACTATCCATGTGGGTGTAGACAAAAGAGTTTTATATTGCAAAAGAGAATTTAAGACACCAAAAAATTAAATACCAAAAATTTCATTTTGTCACTAGTTTCAAAAAGAAAACAAATAAAACTAAGCAGTTTTTGGTTTTAAAATCACTGTACAGTATGTTACCTTGCCCACAATGACGCCAGGACAACGATATATAATAAGCGCTACTGTTGATTGGACAGAAGTAAAACAGTACGCGCCAGCCCACTAATAATAGAAGTGTTTCCATCTGTCCAATCATCAATAATTTTTAAGGAGTTTAAACTTAATTTTAGATTTTTAGCTTTGGATTTTTCAAATTTTTTCAGACATAGTTTTTATTTCGTTTCTTTATTCCGTTTTTATTCCGTTTTTATTCCGTTTTTATTCCGTTTTTATTCCGTTTTTATTCCGTTTTTATTCCGTTTTTATTCCGTTTTTATTCCGTTTTTATTCCGTTTTTATTCCGTTTTTATTCCGTTTTTATTCCGTTTTTATTCCGTTTTTATTCCGTTTTTATTCCGTTTTTATTCCTTCTTTTTCCATTTTTGTATCTCGTTTATACAGGGTGTTTCTAAATTCATGCGACAAAATTCAGGAGGTGATTGCTTGTATGAAATTTCCTATAACAAAATTTCTTCAGCCCACCCCTTTTCTATATTCGTGTTATATTTTGATGAATTTCTCAGTTTGGTATGTTTTCGTTTTACCCATTTGTTC